CGGGGTCTCGGTCTCGGTCCGCTTCCTAGCTCTCGGTTGTATACGAAACGCAATCTCTATTCGGCTTCTTAAGACATTATTGTTTTGATAAACTCGTCTCGGCGTGGGCTTAGGGCTATCTCGAACTAGGCGCCTCCGTAGCCGCCGTGAGAAAGGTTGCCAACAGTACTAGGCCGACCATCTCGCTGAATACCCGCGGTTATCGACGTGGACGCATAAACCACCGAGATCTTCCTGGAGCGAGACTTAGGTATCGGATGTTCATCTCCTCGAGTATGGTCAAGGCTAGATGAACTCACCTTTACCTCGGGATCAAGCAAGGCCTTGTCGACTTGATCGAGTTTTATAGCAAAGAGTGACCGTGTGTAGAAAGATATCCACATGGTTGTCCCGATTAGCTATGGACAACAAAGGGATCCTCCCCAGATATACGGCTAACTTTACATACAACTTCGACCTGACGTCCTGATCAACCCTCCCCCACCATGGAGCCCAAGCTAATGAGCACTATATCGTCCCGTTATCTTTAGCTCAAGTCCAAAGGAATAGAATTGTGGGCAGCGAGCATCGGCCATGGAGAAACTACTACCCAAAGCAGCTAAATCATCTGCTACTATTTTACTCTGCTTCCCCATCTCCATCTCAGGATCCCCAGGCCAGAAAACCCACAGTTGACCCGTGCAAGGCCTTGGTCTCATCATCCACATCCCATAGCTGCATCATCGGTCTCTAGCACAAGGTCCACATGAGGACAATTGACTCTGCTAATTGGAGGGTGCGGCAGACCAAGGGAGGCACTGGGTGGAGAGGAGAGCGCTACGAAACATCATGTGGGCCAGAAGTAGGCTAACTGTTATCTAGGTCCGAGGTTGGTCTGTCTGAGGAGGAGCTCTCCTGAGTAAGCCGGTTCTGTCCGCTAATGCAGAGACCATCTGGTGCCAGTTCGGAAAACCGCTCACTGAAACGATGCAGCAGTGGACTAACGGATGTGGGACAAGCATCAGTTGAAGTTGGTTATTTCACAATTGCTAATTGAGGCTTTTAAGAATTCTCAAGTGAGTGGGGACTTCATTTTATTGGTATACACATCACAAGCATCATTTCCACAATTCATATCAAACGCCAGGCCATGCTCGTGTTGCTTTTGTTCAGAACAAAGGAGAAAGAAATATGTGCTTCCGGTTTTGTGATGGTGACGGTTTATTTTACAAGTTGCTCGCTGTGAAAGGGTGACTGGACACCCCGCCAGCAGCAAATATTTTCCCTTCTTCCATCGTCACACACATGCCTCAAGGCGATGTGATGAAGCCCCTCATATAGACGGTTTCATACCCCGGTCTATGCCCATCCCCAAGTCTATAACCGTCTATTCTTCTATGGTGGTTTTCCCATCGGACGTATTGAGACGCGACGTCATATTAATGACACAGCAGCCGGGTTTCTCGATCGCTCATTACACATACCCCAGGACGTAGTGTAAACCTCGGCTCCCATAATTGTGGATATTAAAATGTTTAGGTCTACGACATGATTAATATTGGCTCTAGTCAATTGGGGCGTTTGCATGTCAAGGGAACTACGTACGAACTTGGCCATGAGGGCAACCATCAGATCGAAAAGACCGATGGCCTCAACGAAGGCGAAACCCAGAATGGCGTATGAGAAAAGCTGACCACGGAGAGCGGGGTTGCGGGCAACACCGTTCAGGAGGGCAGCGAAGACAAGACCGATACCGATACCAGCACCAGTCAGACCAATGGCGGCGGAACCCATACCCAAGTTCTTAGAGACCTCAACCATAGCCTGGGCGATCTCTGATGAGTAAGCACGGCGCTGGAAAGCCTGGCGGGTGGTGGCGCTCAGGATCTTGGAGACCTGCTGGCGCTTGGCAGCCTGGAAGGGAGTGGCATTGCCTATCGGAGATGTGGTTAGTTGTCAGCTTCTCAATTGGAACCGATCGATGATTCGACGAGCTCGATGGCGACCAATTGAGGGATTTCGCGCAAGAACATACTGGTGATTGTGCGCTTAGCGGCAGTGCTGGCGATGGTAGCACGGACGGCAGGGCGAGCGACCTTGGTGCCCATAGAGGCAAAGGCGCGGGAAGCTACAATGCGAGCGGAGGCCATTGTGATGATGTGGATGTGTAGTTGATGATGGAGATGGGAGATGTCGACGATGAAGGGACAGACGAATGAGCTGATGGAAGAAGAGATAAGAGCTGAGAGAGGAAGAAGGGAAGCTTGTTGGCGGTGCGGTGGAAAGGAAGAAAAGTTTGCCGGAGCTCTAGGGAAACGACCGAACAGTTGTTCCGGGGTTGGGCATGGACCACTACCTAGCTGGTATTGACACCGTGTCTGGGTGAATGAAGCCGGACTGTGGGCTTGGATGAAACCCACATGGCGTCGACACAATGGATACACAATGGAGATGGAAGGAAACTTTTCCTGCTCTAATGGAGGCTACCCAAAGGAGACAAGGCTGACGGGTTTCATTATTTCACTGTAGCTGGTGTGGATACAGGGGTATCGGGGATTTTCGGGTGCGGCGCTTGCATACCGTCTACCGCCAAGGATGACGAGGTTTGTAGGTAGCGCATAGTAGGAGCCCACCTGCATACGCCTCGATTTCATCCTAGATGCGCCATGCCCCCACCTAATTTAACTACAATTGTACTAGTGCTGTGCACATCACCTACTTTTAGTATAGTTCCCAGCAGAGGGACAATTATACTAGAAGTACCAGCATTGTAGGTAAAAATTCAACCTACCGAGCCACTTACCAAGCCACCTACTAAGCCACCTACTAAGCCACCTACCTAGCCACCTACTTAGCCACATAGTTATAGCTAACTCTGCTTACATATATATTTATTCAATTAATCTATTTACTTAGACCCACTTAGCTACACTAAGCCACACTAAGCTATACTATTTAGCCACAAATAAAGCCACAATTTGAAAATCTATTTCTACCCCTTAATTTACCACCTACAGAATACTTACCACTTTATTTACCACTTCACCTACCACTTCACTTACTACTTCACTTACTACCTGACCTACTACCTGACCTACTACCTGACCTACTACTTGACCTACTACTTGACCTACTGCTTGACCTATTACTTGACCTACTGCTTTGCTTATTATTTGACCTACTATTTCAACCTGTTAAGTAAGTATAGCAAATAATTCGGTAGAAATAAGTAATCGCTATGTAGGTAGGTACGCGGTAGTACTTGGATAATCAAACTAAGTGGGGGCATGGCGCATCTAGGATGAAATCGAGGCGTATGCAGGTGGGCTCCTTGGCGGGATTGACTTTGCGGCTTTTTCCTTTCAACTTTGACCGAGATTGCGATTCGATAAGCCACAACGAATCGCTCTATCTTGACATTGGAAGCATTCAATATAGATCAATATTGGTAGCACCACCTATTCGTCTACATCGGTCGACCTAGAGAGCTATGTAAGTGCTATTAGCTACTTCATGAGCCCCCATTCATGAGCAATAGCAGACGGTGTAGAGAGTGCGTTAAGGGAGGTGAGAGTAACATGAACCCCCACTGACTAAATTCGGACATCCACTTAGTCCTGGCTCATGGGTAGTAAACATGGAGCCCAGTTGGTATCCGAGAGAGCTCATAGGCAATAGCAGGTGGAGCTTGTCCGACGATAGAATGATAGGTACAGTATAACAAACACTATGGAAGGTAAGACGAAACCGACATAAAAAGGAAGGCACATCCTCATGGCAGCGGGCGGGTTGATCGATGGCTATTGCTTCTCTGAAACCACAACAACTTTGCTCCAAGTTCCCATGTAAAGCTATACGCATAGCATGCACCAAATGTGAGTCAACCTCCTATGACTAACCAGCCTATGTGACTGTGACCCTATTTCGGGAATTCGCAGAACGAACCAATGGACATCCGGCAATCGCTCTATTCGGGTAACCCTGGCCAAGAATCTACATACCTACTTCCTACCTGCTTGACGCGCAGTACAGGATGTACCCGGCACACGTCGCGCCCTGTCAATCCCTACAGGTAGGGAACACTGGCATGTATGTACCAGGGTACTTCTTTGCAAAGGAGAAGACTCTCCCGCTTCCAGCAGATTGGGAGAGAGGTGTATTGGAGGTGGGTACATCAATCGACCAATTTGAGAGAGATAGGAGAAAAGGAAGGCGATTTCTGCTGTACTGTCCCTTCCAAGCACCTCGGGTACCAGGGTCTTAGGCGAGTCATATGCGTAGATGCTTGAGCCTCAAATACGACCTTAACAAAAGACGTGCGACTGAGAGGGATACCTCGTAAACTAAGGTTTTATTATGATATCAAGGTAATTATGGTAAAAGCAACTCTAATTGCACTTATTCAGCGGGTTGCATAGAGCTTTTAGATGGCCAGTTGATTGTAAAGGAGGAAAGGCGGTCATGATGATAGACTTCGAAGGTTACACGCTGCGTCGTAAAAATTTTCTTTCCAGCTGACGTGAAATGACGGGAGGGTAAGATCTGTATAGCTGATGCGGAACAGGGGGGCCCTAGACCTGACATCGAATCTTTTAAGGTGGTACCTTGCACATCCGTGGCATTATTACGAAGTGCTATTGGCTAACACTGGATGCTTTTTTGGCCTACATGTACTCAGTCTAGGTACCTATGTAGATAGTGCACTGTGAATTTCCACACAGTTGATCTACCTTACTATAATGCTGGAAACTTGCCCAAGTCTTGTGCAGTCATTATTAAATTCAGTATCTACAACGAACAAGAGCTCAGTATATTCTACATGTATCTGTCTATAAAGCAATATATGCCTACCCATGTTTTATTGTTGTTGAACACTGATCTTTTAGTTTATCAGTAGGTAGGTAGAGTATACATAACTACGAAACCCTCACCAAACAATGCTTATCTATATGATGCAATGACATGATACGAAAAAGGATAAAAATCTCATAAAAAAATTGCGCACTCCGACCAAAACATATAGTTCAGCACGGGACTCGAACCCGCAATCTTCAGTATTCTCCAATGAACCGGAAACTGACGCGTTGCCATTACGCTAACCGAACTCGCCAAGCCATACTGCTGAGCATCACGTAATCTATTACAACCTATGTACCTAATATAGTTGGACAATATAGAGTACTCCGGTGCCGTATACCGATAGCTTGTGAAACAGCAACCACAGAGCACTAGTTGTCTTAACAATGAATCGAATTAGGAGATTTTCTCCTACTGTTGTCACAAAGAATTGTTATATGGTTTAGCATGATGTGGGAAAGCGGCGTGGGACAACTTACCAGGAACAAGGAAGGAAGGCTAAAGAAGGTTGAACAGCGATAACTTTATAGTGTTCTTAAGGCAGACGGGCATAATTGAAACACGTGAAAGTTAAAGAGAGATGCTTAAATTAGTGAAGGCTACTTTGACTGGGAATAAACGAATTAAATCATGTACTGGGTCACCTGAAGAAGTAGTATATACTGGCTAATATATAAGTGTGCTTCTATACAGTTATGATAACCCTAGGTGTGTACTTGCCGTCTTTTTACATCGTGAGCTGGTATGGATGATTTAATAGAGGATTGAGGTTCTATGTATATCCAACCTACATATGAGCAATATTGTATAGATAGCTGTACAGACTCCTTAGTTTTCAGTAACCGTTTGCAGACCTCTTTGCTTATTATCCAGTAAAGGAGTGTGAGATGAGGCCTATAATATGCAGGTTCCTGACAACTAAAGCATGAGCTAGGTAGTTCTATAAGCAAGTAGTACCCTACCCTACCCTACGGTGCATACCATGCTCCCCCAAACCCAAACCTACCTCGTATCCCACCTACCTCGCCCGGGCATCCCTGTCTTTCCCCTAAACCACCTCCACGTCCGTGCCCCGACCGAACTCGACGAGGTTATGCCGCGAGTCGGCGTCGACGACCTCGTGCGGCGGCCGCAGCGTGACGCTCTCGCCGTGGATCTCGGCGACCTGGCCGTTCAGCGCCGTGTCCGTCAGCAGCCTCTCCAGGCCCGCGATCAGCGTGCTGTGCGGCGTCATGACCAGGTTGCGGTAGAAGGCGTGCGGGCCGGCTATGTTCGATTCTGCTCTCGGTTGTAAAAAACCACGTTAGTTTTCGTTTTTTCGTCAGCAGTAGACTGAACGGCAATGTAGATTGTTGCTCTAGCGCTCCTCATGCATACCCACCGCCCCCTGGTTCTCTCTTTTGGGCAGCACGTGCCCCGTCTTGGGTGGTATAGCATTGGATAGGATAGGATGGGAAGGGGAGGGCTCACCGAGCGCGGCGGGCGCGAGCGCATTGATCCGGATCCCGACGTGCGGCAGTCCGTACACGGGGCCGAGCGAGCGCACGAGGCCCACGATCCCGTGCTTCGAGGCCGCGTAGAGGGGCTGCGGGGGGAACGGGTACAGGCCCACGCTCGACGCGGTGCAGACGATGCAACCCCGGAGCCCCGTCGTGGCGTCCTGGGTGTTACGTTGCATGTAATGCAGTGCGAGTTTCACGGCTGCGAGGCGGGGTTTCCGTGTTCTTATTAGTCGACAAATCGCCCGTAGTACTGTTTCGGGGTTCAGGAATGGAAAGGGGCAAGAAAAGGGATAGGGGCATCTTTTTGAATAAAAGAAGACAACCGAACGTAAGAAACAGGCGCAACAGCCAGCAAGCAGCGACAGAAGGGCAAACAGGAGCAAGAAGCGAACCAGCGAACACGAAACGCATACAGTAAACATTCCCAATCAGATTCACATCCAGCACCTTCAACCTCGGCTCCTCGGGCTCGTCCCCGAGCGCCCCCCTCCCCGGCGCCGGCGGCACGACCCAGCTGCGCCCGCCCTCGGAGACGCCCGCGTTCGCCACGACGACGTCGACGCGCCCGGCACCCTCGTACACGGCCTTGAACGCCGCCGCCTGCTCCGCCCACGACGAGATGTCGCACCTCCTGAACCCCACGTTGCTACCCCCTTCTTCGCCGCCGCCGAGCTCCGCCGAGACCGCCGCGCCGCCGGCCTCGTCGATGTCGAGGATCGTCACGGCGTCGCCCAGCGCGGCGAAGTAGGCGCTCATGGCCTTGCCCAGGCCGCTCGCGCCGCCCGTCACGATCACGCTGCGGCTCTTGCGCGGCTGGGTGGCCATTTCTGGTAGTGACTCGGAAGGTTCTACCCTAGAGATCTGGAGAATAAAAGCAGATTTGGGGAGATCCTGATGTAGAGGTGGTAGTAAGTAGATATATGGCTGAGGTTAGAAAGCTCGCTGGCGATGGGTGTAGTAGAACGGGATGCGAATCCCGCCTTATATAGGATTATCCCTCTGTAGTTGGAGGAGCGGGAGATGGGGTATCAGCATGTAGACGGGTGCGGGGGGACCCTTCCCCCCCCCCCTCGTTAGGCCCCAGCATCTATTTTCCCTGCGAACAGATCTGTATCGGCCGGCAATGGCGGGGTACTGGGAAATATGCTTCACTTGGTGAGATTGTGGCTGTCTGCCTCTCTCTCCCTTTGACCCTCGGGGAGAGCGGCATAGTAAGTGTAAACAGTAAGGTAAGTTGAGCCGATTTCTACTAATCTATAGCAATATTAGACGACGAAGGGGGCATCACTGACTCGAGATCATGTGTCGTACCATAGCCTTCGACAAGATGTGGTACGTTAATAAGTAGGTATAGAGGTTGGCATTTGAATTGGTGTTCATGTTTGAATCGGCTCTGCTCGTTTAACAAATCAGGTGGCGGCCTATGTCTCTTCAAATCCCAACAACATTTGTCCATGTTCCAGACGCCTCGCTTTCCATCCCTACAAACCAGAACCTAAAACACATGAACATTTGCCCGGTACGGGTTGGGTATTTCCTGGAAATGCCATTTCACTCTTCCTCGTCGTTATCCTCCGCTTGTTTGATAGCATACCCCTCCACAAACCCGTCAGGATCGCAAGCCCTGGCAAGTTCAATCTTATTTTCGCGTGCCCACGCACGAACTGCGGCTTTATCGATCCTGGCTCTAGGGACGGGCGGTAGTTTCGACTCCTTTTCTTCCTTCTCTTTCCCTTGCGTATTTGGATCTGTACTTCCATCTCTACTGGCATCCCGCTCGGCCTTGGGTAGACCGAGCCCGGTTTCCTCGATGACTCCCATTTCCCGGAGCATAGCAAGGCAATCTTCGGGGACAATCCAGGTATCCCGGGAGCACTGCTCCACGTCGACACAAAGATCATCTTGTTCTCTCTCTTTTTCTTTCTCTCTCCTCGTGGATTTACTAGTGTGAGTAGACTCGCTCGACGATGGCGTCGGATCTAAATCGAGAATCCACCGAATGATTTCGCCGGCCCAGAAGCGTTTGTATCCCTTGCGACCTAGCTCTGAGATGGGCTTCTCGGGCCCTCCCAGGATGCCCTCGCGCCGCGAAATCTCGTAAGAAACGCCCATGAGCAAGGCGCCGAGGCCTTTGCGTTGCCATGGTGGGAAGACCAAGATGCATGCCAGATTGTTATTATCCCAAGACATTTTCTCCTTCGAGAAGAAGCCAACAATCTGCGGTCTGGAGCACGGTGGCGGGGAACTGGTGGCCGAGACCGGTGGGTTCGATGGTATAGGTGCAGAATGTTCAGAGCCGGCCAATGGCTCGGGAGCTGACTCGGTTTGCATAGGAGACACAGGGTGTGTTCCGGAAAGAGGAGGCGTATAGACTAGGAGGAAGTAATTAAAGCCCGAGACGTCGAAGAACACCGATTTGTTATCTAGGAAGAGCTTCGCGAACAGAGACAGATTTTGGCAAAACAGCTGATTCGTAGTTAGCTTTCCGGGAGCGAAGGTAAATAACATGATAAGAGCAACAACCTACGCCGTCTTTCTCACCGTCCACTTCCCAGACACTCCACTCCCCTTCACTGAACATGGCCTCATCAGTCAACTGGTCGTTGTTGTCACCTCTGTTTTTGCCTTTGCTTCTCGCTGCCCCTGTGCCTACGGAGCTGGGCAACGCCGAGTCTGTACGTGGCCTGCTCACTGTTTTTGAGTGACGTGGGTGCGTATAGATCTTGGTTCCAGGGACAAATGCCTTCTTCTCGCAATACTGCACATGCTTCCCCCAGGGAACTATCTCCTTGGAGTACTTGAAGCAGCAGGGGCAAATATATAATCGGTCGAGCATAGGCGGCTCACGCTTCCCGCCTCCAATCCTTGTGCTGCCTCCTCCTCCTACGCTGGCCGAGACATCGCCTAGCACCTCCTTCCCGTAGTAGGATGGGTACCACGCCTTGAAGCAGGTGTCGCCGAACACAATTCTATCGATGTTGCGGTTGGAACGAGGCGTTTCGGAGGGCTTAGGAGGCTTGGATTTAGTTATGGGAGTGCGCTTGGGGGCGATGGGAACAGCGCCATTCGCGTGTGGTGGACCTGAGCCGATAGTCGCTGGTGTAGTTCGAGCTGGTTTCTGTGAAGGTCTCGGGGCGAGCGCGCGGGACTGAGAGACAGAGGCGGAGGCGGAGGCGGAGGCGGAGGCGGAGGCGGAGGCGGAGGTAGTGGCAGAGGGAGAGAGTAGTCGTGGCTTGGGGAGCGAAGGGGAGCGAAGATGGCGGGACGACTTCGACTGGGCTGCGTGTCTTCTCCTCCCGTCGTCTGGAGGCGTCGATGGTCGCACGTTCTCCTGGACATTCTCCTTGGATGCGGGAGACACCACGGCGGCGGCGACTACTTCTGGTATCGGTATCGGCACTTCTTCGGGTTTCAGCTCAGTTGCGACTTTATGTCGAGTGGTTCTGGTCTGGATCGTTGCCACGGCGGGGTTCGTGGTGGTGGTGGTGGTGTTGTTGGTGGTGTTGGTGGTGTTGTTGGTGGTGACGGCGGCGATGGCGATGGCAGCTCTCGGCGCTCCAGGTTTCCTTCCACCTCCACGAGAGAGCCGTCGCGTCACGTCGGTCGCCTCTAGCCCAGGCGGGTTTTCGGTGCCCTTGGCGCGCACTCGGCCGCTCCTCAATTGATGGTCTGGCTCTGTGCTGGGGTCTGGATGTTGGCGTGTCGACCGACGCGCAGGTGCTTCGGCTGCAGCAGGTTCTGGCCCA